TCTCCAAATGTATCTGATGGTTATGAAAGCATTTTTATCTTTATGTTTCAAAGATGCTACTCATGAATGTGTACATATGGATATCAATAATTAAAGTACCTAGTGTAGTCTTTTCCATGAAAATTTAAGATTGCCTTGTTGAAGACAAAATTCTTTTTCTTAGCCTTTTTAATTAAAAAAAATTATTTTAGGTTAACATCCAAAGGCATTTTATCATGGTATTTTCATACATCTGCTTCATTATATTTTTTTCTACTTCCCTTGTCAAATGGCTTTTTTAAAAAAAGATTTGAATAATTTTGTGTAAAGTGTGCATTAAAAATGCAAAGTTATTTTACTTGTAACTACAAAATATGTTAACCTTAATATTTGTCCATTGTGGACTGACAGAAAAAGACTATTTTATTTTATTGATGTGTTTGTGTATGTGTACATACATGTATGGGTAAGTGCATATTCCTGTGCGTGCAGCATGTGGAGGCCAGAGATTGTCTTTGAATATTTTCCTCTATTGTTGTTCACGTGATTTCTTTTTGAGACAGAGTCTTTCACTGAACCAGGAGTTTACTGGTTCAGTGAAAGCTTGCAGGATCCATCTGTTTCTCTTCTTGCAACCCCTATCCCTGGAATTATAGGCATATGCCAACATGCCCAGCATTTATGTAGGTTCTAGGCATCCCAACCTAGGTCTTCATGCTTGCACAGCCATCTCCCCAGCCCTATATAAACTATTACAATGATCAGAGATTTATTTGCCTCACAGTTGCAAGGCTGGGAAGTTCCAGATTAAAGGAAGCAAGAGACTTTCTTGTTGCATCATCCCATGGTTGAGAGGCAAGAGCATTAGCTGGAGAGAAGGAAGTAACAAATTCCTCTCCTTTAAATTGAATTGAATTTTTGAGAATTGTACACAGTATATTTTGATCGTATTTAGACCCCATCTGCTATCTGCACCTCCTTATCACTCCCCACCCATTGTCCTGTCCATGTACATGTATGTATATAATCCACACTCTAAATTGAGTCTCTCTCTCTCTCTCTCTCTGCCCATAGAGTCAAATTTGTGTCCCCAAATGTGTGGGTTCATCCACTGGAGCCTGGTGAAACTACCAAGAGTTTCACTCTTAAACAAGACTGAATCTCCTCCCCACAGCAGCCCTTGGTTGCCAATAGTTCCTCAGGTAGGGAAGGGGTTTCTTTCCCACTTCACATCTATGCTTGGATTTTTGAAGACAAATTTTAAAAAATATTTTATTATTTTTATTTTATGTGAGTGTATTGCCTGCAAGTGCACCTGTGTCCTGTGGTAGTCCAGAAGAGGGGGTCGGATTCCCTTGGAACTTGAGTTACAGATGGTTGTTAGCCACCATGTGGGTGCTAGGAATTAAACCCAAATGAAGACAAAATTCTTAACCCATGATCTTTTTGGCAAACATCAAAAGACAGGTGAAGTCTTTCATCAGTAAGACTAAATGATTATAGCTACTTTACTGGGTAAGCACCTACTGTCAAAAAGAAGAAAGTAATATTTTCTATCAGGATGCAACCTGTAAGAGTTTCATTGTGTCTTCTTGGGTGTAAGAATGTATTATGGACAGTGAGATCACTCAAAGATCTTCAGGTGACCTGTCATTCTGTAACGTGTGGTCTCAGACACATGCAGATGAATAGCACTTTATCTATAAAACATATTATTTAATTTGATCAATTTTACTTTATACTATCATGTTGAGATAATTTATAATTGTTGGGGTTGGAGAAATGGCTCAGCAGTTAAGTGGGCTGGCTGCTCTTGCAGAGGTCCCAGGTTTCATTCTCACCATCTATGTGGTGGCTAACAACCATCCATAACTCCAGTTCTAGGGCATCTGATGCCCTCATCTGACTTCCATGGGCAGTGCATAACACGGTGCACTTACATACATGTGGACAGTACACTCATATACATAAAAAATAATAAATATCAAAAATATTCTTGTTGATTCAAAAATTTTGTACAATATATTTTGATCATATTCAGACCCCCACCTTACCACCTCCACTTCATGTTTTTATCTGTGTTTGTTATTATCCATCTTTTTTTTTTAAGGCCTGTTGAGTCTAATCTGTGTTTCCTAAATGTTCTTGAGTATGAGTCTATCCCTTGGAGTTTGGCCAACCTCCCAGACATCACACCGGTAAGGAAAACTTGCACACTTTCTTTATTCCAGCATCTATCAGTTGCCAATAGACCCTCAGCTAGAACTGGGGCTTCCTACCTACCTCCCCAATCCATGCTGGACCTCTGTCTGAGATGAATTTGCACAGGTGTTGTGCATGCTGTCATAAACGGTGTGTTCATATGTACAACTGCTCTGTGGTGCCCAGACAACACAATTTCCTTGTATTCATCTAATACCTCTGGCTCTTAGAATCTTTTTGTCCCCTCTTTCACAATGATCCCTGAGTGAGGAAGGAGTGGATGTGATATAGATGTTCCATTTAGGGCTCCATAGTCACTTATTCTATGTACATTGACCAGTTGTGGCTCTCTGCATTGGTTACCATCTACTGTATGAAGAGCCTTCTCTGGTGAGAGTTGAGAGTTGCACTAATCTGTGGGTTTAATAATAAGTCATTATGAGATAATTTTTTTTTTTTTGTCTTTTTGAGACAGGGTCTCCCTGTAGCCCCAGCTGTCCTGGAACTCATTATGTAGACCAAGCTGGTGTTGAACTCACAGAGATCCACCTGCCTCTGCCTCCCAAGTGCTGGGATTAAAGGCGTGCGCCACCACGCCCAGCTCATGAGATAATTTTTTTTAGTGTCAAGAACAATAATTCTGGGCCTCACTTCTTTCTTTGGATAAAAGAACATGTTTTCATGATTTTCCAGGGATCTTATGAGAAATATTGAAAAAAAAATCTTTGAAAGTTTTGCTTTTCTTAATTTAAAATATTACTGTGAAAAAGCAAAATCCAAAGAGCCTTCCAAATCACCTAGTCACAGGCATGCCTAAGAAACAGATGTGTATTTATCATAGGGACAATGCAATATTTTAAACAAAAGGGTGACACAAAAGGAAGAAGTCATACCTTTCTCAGAAATGGGAAATGTTAAGTTTTTGTTACTTGATAAACTGTTAGGAAGGGAGTTTCTGTCATGTAGGCAGATCATATCAAATGTAAGAACAACCATCACTACCCCATAAAGAGAAGACCCAGAAGTTTAAGAGTTTAGTATGTAGAAAACCAAATGCTGGTTTAAATTAATAGTAGTAAAGAGTTTACATGTTCTCTGCCCTATCTTTTAAATTAGCTTACAAGTAAACCCATGAAAATGGAGTAAATGTTGCCAAAATTCGAATACCTTTCTTTCTTTTCTTTTCTTACTCAATATCTGCAGTTGAAGAAAAATTTTCTACATATCTACAACTTCCTATGTCTAGTAGGATTTTCTTTGCACAACTTTTTTGGAATCTAGAAAAGCCGTATTTTTCACTTTAAGATGCTTCCCCACTCTTCTTTTGAGACAGGGTCTTATACATACCAGACTGGCCTCAAACTTGCAGTTCTTGTGCCTCTGCCTCCTAAGTGCTGGGGTTATAATCAGCACCACCATACCTGGCTATTTTTCCTTTTCTGGACTATGAAAACACAGTTCATGACCTTATATTGACAACTGCACTTTTTATTTTATTTCATTTTTGAGGGTTTCTGATAATGCTACATTCTGAACATAAAAAGGGTACAAAATGAATTTTTTTTTCCAGAATATTTCAAAGGACGATGCTAGTCTATCATTGTCTGCAAAGCCCCATTCACATACTGTTACTGTAGGTCATTTTGTCTCTTAATTGAAATCAAATACCATATGGTCCATAGTTTTGGCCTGTACTGAAATGAGGGAAAGAGGGTCCCCTAGAGGATTTTTAGTTTCATTCATAAAAGAATTGAAGAATGGACCCTTTTAATCAAGTATTCTATTTTTAGTTTGTGTGTGTGTGTGTGTGTGTGTGTGTGTGTGTGTGTGTGTGTGTGTTAGTAGCATGTCTGCTTGAATGCAGGTACCCACAGAAGCCAGAAGAGGGTGTTGGATCCCCTGGGGCTGGACTTATAGTTGGTTGTGAGCCACACCTTGTGGACTTTAGGAAGCCAACTTGGGCCTTCAGCAACAGCAGCACATGCCCTTAACCTCACCTCTCAGCTGTCTCTCCAGCCCCATGTTTTACTTTTATGTTGTTGTGATTTTAGTGTACCCTTTGATTACTCATGCAGATTATAACTTTCAGCCAAATTAGTTAATTTCTGTTTCAAAGAGAAAACTGGAAATGCAAGAAGTATCTATCCCACACAGTTTGGCAAAATCAGTAAAACTTAATGAGTTCACACATAAAATCCCTTTTCAACTTTTTAAAGTTTAGCAAAGAAAATACAATCATTAATGTGACCAGTTATCAACAAGAAACAAATAACATCTATTTTGACATTTGTTGGTGCCCAAATTTCAGCATTCTCTTTTGCTTAAAAATTACCAGAGTGTTCAAGTTCTCTATCAAATTTAAGAATAGTTAAAGGCTCATTCAGATTCAAAAGTGACTATCCCGGGGACCATTTATTCCTCTATGGGTCATTAAACATCTTCAAACAAGTGAAAACAGAATATTCTGAGGTTTTGGAGTTAAATGTGGATCTTTGTTAAGCTGACAAATTTCACCTTAGAAAGTCATGTGTACTGTTTGTATTCATGGAGCCTATTGACTGGGAGTAAGAATTCAGATCCCTTTTATCAATGTTTTCCTTTGGTTTTTTTTTCCATCTTATATTGATTTGATTTCACTATTTGTTCTAAGTCTTGTCTGGGGATATAAATCAGTAAATAACTTTACTATTTGCTTCAGAAAAATTTTAAATGATAATTTATAGATATAGCCTATTCATCTGGTCAAAAGGTTTTCTATAAGAACAATTTACTTACCTCACCAAAAAATTATATTTATTTAAAAAAAATGTATCTATCAGAACTCCCTATAGGGAGCTGGACTTGCTTGATGATAGGAAGTAGTGAGAAAGATTTGAGTACTACTACTGCTTTAGGTTTCAAAGTATACAAATTGGTAGTTTCTTGGATATAGTAAGTGTGAAATAGGTTTTAAAGATCATTTGTGGTAAATGGGACAGTTGTTTCACATGGGCTAGAATAAATTACATCATGGTGGTGATGATATAGGAAGAGGTAAGAAGCATCTGAAGAATGACCATTTGGAAACAATTTCCGTAACATTGAAATACTGCCATCCACTTCTTCATTATCATCTCTTCCCTCTTTCGGCCACATCAGCTAATAATGTCATCTAAACTGTCTGCCTGGCACTCCTGGTAAGTCTCCTAACTTTCCCTTTCAGAACTGACTGAGAGCAGACCACCTGTTCTGTGTACTTGATCAGAAATTTTTTATCCCATGAAAAGATTTAGAAGGAATTTAGGAAAATCTTCTCCTCCTCTTCCTCCTAGTCCTCCTCCTGCCCCTCCCCCTCCCCCTCCTCCCCCCTCCCCCCTCCTCCTCCCCTGGAGAGTTAGTGAGAATTGGTTAATCCCCAAAATTAAATTAGGTGAGTTGCAAGACAGTCACCTACTGAGATTAGAAGTGCCTGGAGAAAGTGGGAGCTTGTTTAATAGTGGGCCATCTACTTATGCATATTCCTGTAGGGCTATTGCTGCCATGGTGACAGAGGAGAAAAATCTGAAATAAGTGGCAGAGCAGAAAGAAGCAGTGGTCTATCCCCCTACCGTTGCATGGTAAAGATATAAAGGATTCCCATTTAAAACAGACATGGTAAACTATAGACTTGAGCTGACCTCTTGGTACCCCACTTGGTGAGTAAAGAACCTGTGGTTGGTTCTGTTGGCAGAGGAGAAGACAGAGGGAGCACCTGGGATCCATGACAGTCCTCTGAAGGACAGGCAGTTGGTAGCTGCTGCAAAGGAACATCAAAGCCCAGGTAATGTTGCTCCATCCCAGAAGCCCGAGTTATCAGGAGAAGCATGGATAGGCAGCCAGTTCCATAAGATCTGGCCTGTCTTTCATACTATTTTATTCTTTCCAAAAACTCTAATGTTGGAAGGAATGGGAAGAGGTGTGAGAGGAGTAAGTGGGAAAGAAATACCCTGTAAAAGAGAATGAGACAAAGTTTAAAAATGAAGTAGACTTGACTTTAATAAGTGAAAGTGATTCACCAGCTTTGCCCAAGTTATTGCGAAGAGACAGGAAAGGAAAATCACACAGTGCAAAGTTGAAGACAGTGGTTGGAAACATTTAAAAACTAATTTGTGTTTGTTCCTCCATACAGACCAAAGTATAAGTAAACTTATTACAAATAAGTGGGGTGGCTTTGTTTAATATTAATTTTATGAAGTAAAAAGATTTGTGAGTAGCCGGATGTGGTGGCGCACGCCTTTAATCCCAGCACTCCGGAGGCAGAGACAGGAGGATCTCTGTGAGTTCCAGGCCAGTCGAATCTCCATTAGTGAATCCAGGCCAGCTGCGGCTACAGGGAGACCTTGTCTCTAAATGACCAAAAAATAAAAATAAAAAAAAAAAAGAAAAATTTGTTAGTAGATAGCAACATAAGAATGGGCCTGGGTAGGAGGTTGTTGTAGAGGAGCAGGAGGGCATCTGTGGAGGAGGAGCATCCATGATAGGAAAGAACTACTCATCCAAGCTCCAGGCAAAGGTGTGAAATGCGTTCAAGATTAAGACTGAGAAGGAACCCCTTGGGGATAGAAGTTGGCTAGAAAGGTGAAATGTGGGCAGTGGTAAATATTTCTAACATAGGAGCATAGACCAGTATCAGAAGGCTGTGTGGGCCATGGGAAAATACTTTGAGGGCAAATCTAGTTTTCTCAATTTTTTTGGAAGCATTTTTGTGATCCTTGTAGAGGATTCTGAATTTATTCATATGGTTTTATTTAATGGATCACACAAATTTTAAAATTCTAAACAATTTTGATCTTAGGGATAAGAGGCTACTAAGATATCTCGCATTTATTTTCTTATGATCTATTAGGTACAAATACACCTAAATAGTTATAAAAATATATTTATGCTATTCCTGTTTTCATTGCAGTGCTTCAAACCTAAGAATCAAATCCTTGCCATCATGTGTGTCACATACTCAGGTAGGTAGAATAGACATCTAGAGCTTGAGTAGTATAACTGTTTCTTTAAAAACTGAAACAGTAATTGCAAATCTTGTCATAAATAGTGCATATCAATCATGCCCGGAGAAAGCAACTGGTCTGCTAGCATAGAGAAAATGTGTAGAAAATAATGAAAGCTTGGTGCCTACAAGTTCTGCTCTTTGATAGTTAACGATTTAAAACCCAGAACAGGAAACCTTTTCTCCTTAGACTTAGTTTTAAACCCTAGAGACGGAAATCTCTGCCAGGAACCACAATGCATCATCCCTCATTAGGACACTGTTCTATAACCAAGGTAAAGAATGCACAGACTGCAAGAGACGTGTGCTTAGCTCCCTTGTAGCAATGTTCCCGGCTTCTTCTCTAATATGAATTATAGACTTCTCAGCACAATCCATGCCTCTACCCACTATACTTATGCAAATAGTTGCTCTGAATCCAACATGATATCTTTTAGTTAATCCTGGAACATTAGATATTGCAGCTGTCTCATGGAACAAACTGAGAAAAAAAATTCTGTTCAGTATGGAAATAACTCTATAAAGCTCATGATAAATGAAAGCTTATGACTAGTATATCAGTTATTGCAGTCATCATTATAGCAGAATATTTCTTGGGTTCTTATGGGAAATTACTTTCTTTGGCACATTCTTGGGAATTATTTCCTGTGTTCCATTAGCTCTGCAGGATGATATCCTAAAATGACAGATGCAGCTCTATTGTTTTGTTAGAGTACTCTGTAATGCTCTTAGGGCTCCTTGTTTGAATGCGTATTATAGTCTCTTGAATATTACCTGAGAAGGTAATGCATAGTTTAGTCTTAACTTTTTAAAAAAATCACATGAATAAGAAGGAAGCTTGTTCTGGTAGGAGTAGTAAACAGACCAACAGGTAAGTCTTGTTCGAGTCCTGATATACTGCTCTGTGGTAAAGTCCTTTAGCTATCATGTCTGGTTCTGTAACTCACTTTTACATTCCTCTGTGGTTTATATTTTCTATGGAATTCCTCATTAGTTTATTACTGTTAATTTTAGTAGTTAATATTCATTATTAATACTTTTGGGGTAACTTAAAAAGCCTATGAGTGAGATAAAAATTAGGTATAAAAATTAAGGAAAATATATACACAAGTGCTGACTCATGGTACAAAGTAGGCAGTAGAAGACCATTGATTGCCTTGAACAAAAATGAAAATTGTTTTGAAATCTGTCAGGTGCTCTCAAAAAAGCAGACATGGGGTTTACTGTGGGAACGGGGAGGATGCACTCTGAAGATCAGGAGGCAGGGTCCCTGGCAGCACAGCAGACTAGAACAGGCTGGCCACGATTCTGCTGTTCTGTTGACACTGCTGTACATGTCAGCCATTGATTTTGCTCTTGTCATTGCTGAGTCTCACTGTGTGGAAGAGTAGCACCCAGTGGGTTGAGGTGAATTCAAGTCAGGTGCCTTGAATTGTTCTCCAAATACTTTCCTATACAAACAGGGGATGTTATATGCTAAGAGTAAGTTAGAGTGCGACTAAGAAATAAAATTACTAATGATGAATACCTTCTATCTATTAAGCCACAGAGACTAGAGAAGAAAGTTCATTTTGGAATTATTGAGAGAGATTTTATGAGACTAAATAAGTAGATATTGAGATAAGGTAATGGAGTGAGATTAAAAGCCTTATACCAAAGGAAGGAAGGAAGGAAGGAAGGAAGGAAGGAAGGAAGGAAGGAAGGAAGGAAATAGAACCAAGAAAAATGTACCTAAGCCTCTAAACTCAGCCAGTGAGACTTTCATTGTTGTCCCAAATCAGTCACACTGTGTCTTCAATTCTTACAGGGACTCTATCACACACCTGGGAGAAAATGATAACTCTTGGCACTGTCTATGCACTGAACCTAGAAAAATTTATCTTCTCTTCACTCATTCCTTTGCCAAGGCATCCTGAAAATGCATCCTCAGGACACTGAAACATTTGTGGTTCTGCATTCTTCCACTCAATTCCAAAGACACACCACCCTCTACAGCATAGAAACTGTGAACACTGAGCTAACACAAGATATTAGAAAATCATTCCCTTTTGTTGTCCACAACAGTTATTATTGATGTGGCATATTTTTTCTTCTCCCTTTCACACATTTTGGAATTATTGAAGGATTTTATGAAACCAGATAAATATTGAGTTAAGATCAATGGAGATTACTGAAGATTGAACACAGGGCCTTGCAAATGCTAGACACATTGTTTACCATGGAGCTATAGGTCCATGTTCTGGGTTTTGGTTGTTGTTTTGTTTTTTGGTTTGTTTGTTTACTTTTTTATGTTTGAAGCAGTTTCACTAAGTAGCCCAAGCTTGCCTTGAACTTAGTAACCCAGATAGACCTTAAACTTGCAATTCTCCTGCCTCAACCTCCCAAGTGGCTACCACTAAGATTTTATTGACAGATTTGAATAGAGTGGTTTATACAGGAATGTTGCTTGTAGTTTTCAGCAATAGAAGCATGCTTTATTTCCACAGAACTTTGTGTGTATGAATAGCAACAGAAATCTCTTCAATATTTGGTTTCAAAGGCTATTCTCGACCAATGGTTCTACAAAGGACTTCTGTGACCAATATGTTTAAGTTAACTTTTAAGTGTCCTTCACCCACTATATTGTTAAAACTGAGGCTTATAGATGTTATTTCTTATTTAAAAAAAAAAAAAAAAGATCCAAGTACTTTAATGGTAGCAACCTGGGGGTGGGGGGAGAATGACCTTCCTTTGTTTCTGTCTCAAAATAATTTCAAATAAACATATAAGAACCTACTTCAAATGCAACATTCTCATGAGTATAAACTTGATGATTCCTGTGTGCTAAGTGTGCATAATAAGGACTCAATAAATACCAACTGATTTAATGTAAAATCTATCTGGAAACTGACAGGACAGAGCCTCCACCTTCTGACTGTCATGAAATAACATTACCATTGTTTGTAAAGTATAGCTCTCACTTTTCTTCAGAAAGGAAAAAGCAAATGGTCCTCAAGATAACACCAGTGAACATGAATCAAATATATTTACAGTAGTCTACCTTGATGAATTTATAAATTTGTTTTCAGATGTTCAAGACAGAAAAAACATGCACAGGGAAAATAATCCTATATTTCCTCATCAAAACCAACAAAAGCAAACATAGATTATAAACTTGAAAACACCCAAAAGTCCAGAATATGTTTTAAAGAAGTTATCTTGTACGTATTAGCTCATCATCTTCATGGCAAGAGGATGGAGACTGATGGATTACTGACTTTCTTGACTTTTAATTTTTTTTAAATAAATATGACAATTAACATAAGGTGGGGTGGGAAACCACAAAAGTGAATTTTCACCCCAATTAGATGTGAACAATATGTTCTGTGTGTGGTAAATTCTTATGCATAAGGCTGACTAGGATGGCAGCAATTAATGGGGTGCCATGGTTAACACTGTTGCTCAGAAGCAGTGGAAATGTCAAGACAGACCCTGACTGTGAGCAGGATGTCATCAGGGCCAGGCCAGCAGCTGGCTTTCTCAACACCTCACAGAACCCTGCAAGGGGGCTTTCCCTGGGTGAATTTATCCCAGCAAATGATCTGGCTCTGAGCTTGTCTAGGCTTGAAACGCTGAAGTTTTTGTCACCACAGAAGAATGGCTACATTTTACGGTGACAGACTCATGTACATCAAACTTACAAGGTCGATGTCTAAAATTGAGTGCAAATATATTAATTTTTAATGGGAAATATAATTGTCTTGCTACCCAAAGAATTATTGTCTATGACCAGTTCATTCTCCCTGTGTAGATAATTGAACGTAAGATGTTGGATTATAACCTGAAGCTTAGTTGGTGAATGTGAAATCAGCAGAGTTAAATAAACATTCTTTAACTGTTAATGCATCTCAAGTTATGCTGGTCTAGAACTTCTCATGTTCCCAATTTCTCATTAGTCACTGTGTACTAAGTCTAATCATTTAAGGTCCATCCACTGTCATCTCTCAGGCTTAGGAAAAACTGTCATCTTTTATGCACAGGGCATAGAAGAATCTTACTTTTAACCTTTGTTCTAGTGAGATGTAATTTATGAAATAAAACACAAGGTTCATAAGTACAGCTTTTTAAAAAATATTATATTTATTATTTTTATTTTATGTGTGAGCATGTATTGGCTGCATGTAGATAAGTGTACCCATGTCATGCAATGCCCACAGAGGACAGAAGAGGCTGCTGGATCCCCTGGACATAGAGTCATGGACAGTTAGAATTCAAACCCAGGTCCTCTGCAAGAACAGTCAGTGTTCTTAACCACTGAGCCATCTCTCCAGCCCCATAAGTACAGCTTTAAAAAAAAAAAAATATATATATATATATAGGCAGTAATAGAAGTTACAAGTATTCTCAGGAGGTAGAGAATTTAACAAAATTGAGTAATACCAGAGACAAGAAGAAAACGACCTGCCTGCTATCTACTACTGATACAGTGGGAAGGACTGTTCAGTTTCAGACATGGAAAGGTGTCACAATTAGAGATCTGAAAACATTCTGGTCCTGAAAAGTTCTTGGTGGTAAGGAGACTTCATCTTGCCTCTTTATAACCCAGATGAAATATCCACAAATACTCTCCATACAATTCTCCTTGGATTCCGGATTCTTGTTAGCCTTCAGCAACTTGTTTTCTATTAAAAAAATGAATAAATGGGTACCTTAGATTGTGTAAACTGTGGTAGACAAACTGTGTAGGTAAAATTAAACTATACTGTGACTTATGTCTGGCTGACCTCTGAACTGTTGGGAAACATATGTAATGTGCAGTTTCACATATCCCATGCTAATTTTAATTTTTCCCATGCATGTTATAATAACATCTGGCATGTGACAAAGGCCAATGAAGAAACTAGAGGAAAGGACTTAGGGCTTGTTCATTATCCATTTCCACACTCCCCATCCCCAGATGGATCCCAGATCCTTGTTGAG